GACTTTTTTAGTCTTGTTTGGTTTTTGTTTTTTGACTTTTTTGACTTTTGTGAGAGAAAAAATGTAATGATTATGGTTTGAATATGACATTTTGTCTTATTGACTATATAGCCTATTTTGTCTTTTTATACTTTTTTTAGTCCCAAAATGTTTACCAAATGAGGACTTAGTTGACTTGCACTAATGTTTGGAATTTTTATCTTATCACATAGGCCCTTGTAACTCTACATGATTTGTGCCTAGTGTTAATATATATATATATATATTCATGCTAGTCCTAAGCTTGGCAAAAGAGGGTAGGGGAGGTGGAGAATTAATGAAATTTATAGTTACTCTTCATAAATATGGATCTTAGGGCATGTTTGATTGGGTGGATTAGAGCATGGGATTGGAATTATTAATCCGTAGGCTCAATTATCCTATGTTTGTTTTAACATTTTGATTTAGGATTATTAATCCAATGGATAATTAATCCAACAAATTTGTAGGATTATTAGTAATGGGGTAAGAGTGGGATTATTAATCCAATGGATATTAATCCAATTGGATAGTGAATATTACACTAATTTAATAGGATTATTAATACTTCATTATTAGTCTTGTGAATCAAACATGACTTTAATGTTGTGATTGGATCTTGAATTTGTGGAGAGATTCATAAGGGGAAAAAAAAGAAAGAAAGGAAATGAATGAAATTTAATTTAATTTTATTTTTCCACTTTTTTTGTTTTTTTGGCCTATATAAATTCAAGATCCAAACATATTTTAGTTGGGACAAAACAGAGACATTGAGAGGTGTGATTAACCCACAAAAATTGGGACAAAAGCTTGTAAAATTGAGTTGAGTAAGAAATATTAGACCAGTGATGGCAATTATGATGATTCAAGTATTATTAGTGCAATAAATTTCCATTGGTTATTTGTTATTGATTTTAAAGCCAAATGTTTGAGTGTCAGGAGATTACAAGGGTATAACCTGAGCGAGCCTAAAATTGGACAAATTTGAAGCTGAGACTGAATTATTTTAAGATTTGGATAAAATATTTTTGAATTCAGAAATCTGAATTGAATTTGGGTCTGACTTGGGTAAATACATTGATCAACTCAAAACTTGAATTATATGTATAAATATATAATATAAAAATATTAAATGTACTTGTAAAATGTTTGTCTTTGGTAGGGTTGTAATCTGTGTGGGACGGTCGGTGTTTAGGTGAAATTTTGCACCGAACCGATAATGTCGGTTTTATTATATTGAAAATCAATGCAAACTAAATTTTTTATCAAACCGTACTAAATCGTATCAATTCAAACGGTTCGGTTCAATGCGGTTTAATCGGTTTAAGTACTTTTAAAATTAAATCATTTCTTAAATTTGTCGTATAATAAATAATTTATATAAAAATATTAAATTAGCCATTTGTACACAATTTTAACCATATCTAATCTAACAATTCACAAAAATACAAACAAAAAAATTAGTAAATACTAAGGCTTGAAGCTTTTATTGGATTAGAATTAGAAATAAAATATAATCTAAGAAACAAATTAATAAAAACTAAGTGTGGCTCGGCTTTTTCGCGCCCCCTTTCCTAACCTAATCCCTTAGGTTCCTTGATTAAGGTTGTTTCTCTTTGCTTTTAGTTGGCACCTAACCTAATCCCTTAGGTTCCTTGATTAAGGTTGTTTCTCTTTGCTTTTAGTTGGCACCTAACCTAATCCCTTAGGTTCCTTGATTAAGGTTGTTTCTCTTTGCTTTTAGTTGGCACCTAACCTAATCCCTTAGGTTCCTTGATTAAGGTTGTTTCTCTTTGCTTTTAGTTGGCACCTAACCTAATCCCTTAGGTTCCTTGATTAAGGTTGTTTCTCTTTGCTTTTAGTTGGCACCTAACCTAATCCCTTAGGTTCCTTGATTAAGGTTGTTTCTCTTTGCTTTTAGTTGGCACCTAACCTAATCCCTTAGGTTCCTTGATTAAGGTTGTTTCTCTTTGCTTTTAGTTGGCACCTAACCTAATCCCTTAGGTTCCTTGATTAAGGTTGTTTCTCTTTGCTTTTAGTTGGCACCTAACCTAAGCCCTTAGGT